AGATACCTGAACACTATGTTTAACAATATCGCCTAAAAAAAATCAAAGCCACACGTCGCTTATATGAATAAAAAAAAACTTCAGAAAAGAAAAGTAATGCTAAAAAAATTACGGGTCAATTTATTAAAGTAATCGCCTTTAAAATCTTGTAAATAATTTTTTGCATAAAAAACGATAGAGATCTGAGAAAAAAATCGATAGAATTAATTACAATTTTCTTTATGTATAATTATTCTAGTGAAATGCTGCTAATCTTCTAAATTTTAGAAAGTGAACAGTTTAAATAAGTATATTAAATAAATAAAAATTATAATTACTTTGCTTTTTTCTTTGAGTTGTCTTTTCGCTTGATTTAATGTTTCATAGTGTTCATCTAATATATCTTTAAATGTATCAACTTGATACCGTAATGCTTGTTTTTCATTATACATGCTTGAATTTGCAATCATCGCTGATTTATATTTTGCTTCAAGTTCACTTAAAAGACGCTTAAATAAAAGAACAAAAAAAAACATTATAATTTAATAATTAATAAAATAATAATAAAACTAAAAAATTCATACTCGTAAATCACGTTGTTCAATTGAGCGAAGATCTATATCGCCATTAAGAAATTTTTGTAATAATAACGAATTCGTTGTTGTTCCCATAGCATTATTATTTGTTCCATCAATATTCATTATACGAGACTAAAATAAAAATTTTATTTTATTCTTTTTCAAAAATAATCAAATAATTATTGAATTATATTTACCCGACTTGAACCCATAGGTGTCGATGGAGTAATAGGAGTTGTTCTTGAATCTCCACCATCATCCTAAAAATTATAAATAAATAGGCTAAATAACAAAAAATATAAGGATATATATATATATGAATTTTGTTAGCAGTCAAGCAAAAAGAATTAGAATTGAATATAATTAAATAATTAAGAAGAATTTAACTACATATATAGTTGTTTAAACTCTACCATAGTGATATAATCACCTCCTCCTCTTCTTCGTCTTCCTCCTCATGTTTATTTTGATCACTTTTATTTAATTCAGAATCAACAGCAGATAAATCCTTTATATTTATAAAAAGAAAAAACAAGAAATTTATGAAATCAATAGAAAAAAATCGATGTAATAGATACAACAAAAAAAAACAAAAACTCTTTTTTTGCTTACATCTCGTGCATTTTTTTCTAATTCTTTATGCCGTAATTGACGTGCTTCACGATTTTGTTCACGTTGATGTTGTAAACGAAGTTCGGCCTTGATATAAATAACAGATAAATAAAGATCAATTAATTTAATAAAAATAGTCAGATACAAACTTCTTTAGCAATAGCATCAAGTGCGTGTTCTTCAGCAAATGACGTTCCGTGCTGATCATGAACTTTAGTTGGTGCTGTCACTGCAGCTGATTCTCGATATCGACTCGATGTCGAAGAACTCATCACATTGCCCTTAACTAAAAAAAAAAAATGTTAATGAGAATTTTTTTATCATCCATATTAGATTTTACTTATTTAAATCGAATTTTATTGTATTGACTTAATGAGGATAATAAATAAAAAAAACTTAACGATAGACGCAATAATCAACAACCAAAACAGGTGAAATGTAGGGACGGAGGAGGAGAAAAAACGGATGTTAAGGTTAAAATCATCTTATTGGAGAATTATTCGACCATTATGACCTTTCAAGTGACTCGTTCGAACTTTTTTATATCTATATGAAAATATTTCAATGAATAAAAACGACTTTGGAATAAGATAAAACAAATCTTTGTTTTATCGTGTCAAATACCATAGATGTCGTAAGATAGTGGATAGCGAAAAGAATATTGTCCAACAAACTTTAGCTTTATATTAGCCAAACAACCTTCTTGTATTTGTCTCTCTCTAATACTTCTTGTAAGGTCACTCTGTTTTCTTTATGAATTACAAAACAAGATGATACATCCATAAACTTAGTCGACGTACAGAATTTATCGTTGTACATCAACGCATGTTAAGAAATGTTTCAAATTTGTAGAAGATTGTTTCTTATAGGAAAATTGTTGCATTTGGTAACATGAATAGAGAAATGTTTTTCTTCTAGTAATAAGAGAATAAGCTTCGTATACAATTTCTATGATTTATTTCTTAGTAGAAAGTATCGAAGCAGCTTCTATTAAATAATGATTAATAAATCTTAGTTTTTTTCATAAGCCTTTTTGTACATAAAGTAAATCAATTTGTCTTTCGATGTTTTCTAAATGTGTGAATGAAGAAAAAGGATTCGGTATTTGATTTATATTGATAACAAGGAAAATTTTTGTTATAACAGCTAATTTCGCATCTCTAAAACTTACACTCATTTCTTTAAACAAGTTTTGAGAACAATTTTTGCTATGTATTGTCATCATCCACTCCATCATTTAGTAGACTTAATAATATTCATACTATTTGACAACAACGATGATTAACTTCTAGAGAAATACATTGACATCTTGCATAGTCTTATGTAATCACGTTGCATATTGCTAACACTTATGCTTCTTTTAACATTGATTAATTTTACACTTGACATAACAAATTTAGCAATAGATAGCGCTGATGTATTATATAATATTGCGTTGACTAGTACAGGGATTTTGAGTCCGTTTAGCTTCATTATTGTCCTTGTGTTTTTATGTTTCTTCTAGATAAGTATTTGAAAATAATATATATGGCACAAGAAAACTTGTTTTTCTCAATGATATCAATAGATCTTACGAAAACTCGAATTCTTAAAAGTCAACCAGCCATAGTAATCATAATGTATCTTGTGTTTTCAATGAGCTCTTTTTGTTTTACTTTTTTTTTCCTATGCTAAAACAATTTTTTTGATATGCTATTTTAGGCAGTTATATCAAGTTTATGATCAAGTAATATTCTATCTTTTAATAATGATAAATAAAATTTGTAAATACTTAACATGTCATTGCAATGAAAAGAAACATTTCTAATCCAATAAATCGAGAATAGCTGTGAGAATATTATTTGAATATGATCTTTTTAACAAAGTTATAACAATCATAGATAATATTAGAATCGTACAAATAAATATAACTAAAATGATTATATGAATTTTCTTGAAAGAAACAATACCATTTTATACTACAGTTGTGCTTTTCTATTCATGGAAATCTTATCGATAACTTTGTAAAATTTGTTATTCTTATTGTTAAATTTTCAAGTTGCATCGATATTGTTATTTGATTCGGGTTGAAAAAAAAAATCTTTTCTTCTTGCTTGATGTTCATCTACACTACACTCGATTAATTTTAACTGTTTAATATTATGATTATGTGTGTTGACCTTGTTATTAAACAAACAATATTAGTATTACAGTCTCACCAAGGGACAATTATATGTGTAGGATTGAATTGCAGGGAAAACCTTCCATCGAAGCTGAGCATGCTTCGCATTTTTCGTTTGATAACTATATTATTAAATGCTAAAAAAAGTTTTTGTTTTACAATGTACAATAATATGGTTATAGTTAGTGTTATAGTCGGACTTGTCAGAAGATGAAAGCAAAGTTTCTGATTTTGTCTATCGATTCTGTTATACGAAACATATTTTGTTAATGTTGTAAAGGCTTAACAATTGAATTATCTCTATGTATTTTATGAGAAACAGATACATTGTGCTCAACATTACTCTATTCAAGCCTCTAATTAAAATATTTCAATGAAAGATCATATTATATAAGAAATATGTTTTTTTTTCTTTTATTTTTATGATATCTTATTGTCTATTGGTTCTGAACGATTGTAGAAAATGTCATTGTTTGCAATAATGATGTTGTTGATGTACTCTTTTATCATATTTCGAAACATCTTCAAAAAAATATTATTGAACTCACCTTTTTATGCTTTTAGTCAAGTATGTCATCGTCATCAAAAGAGTACTCTTATTAAATTAACCGGAAAAAGGTTATAGGCATATTATTTCCAAGTAGTTGTAAAAATGAAATGAATATTATTGTTTTCATGATGATAATAATAGTGATGATTGATACCCAACATAATAGAGAATTCTTAAGAATATTATAAAACTGATCGATTTTAATTTTATTGGTTACTTTGTTTTGCAATTATTGATTGTTATACATTAAACGGGCTACTAACTAGTTATGTAGTCAATTATTTTATTTCATCGTAACTTTTTTCTTTTAGGATTGTGATAGTATTTCAAGATTTGATGATGAAAAACAATAATCATCTTTATATTTAAAATTACATCAAATATAAATATACAGAAAATTGAATTTTTTTTTTCTTCATAAACTATTATGAGAATAGAGAAATCATTATTAGTTTTGTTAGAAGAATACTATCAAAACATATTTGAAATAAAAATTGATTCAATTATCATGCTCGAAAATATGAAAGATGAATTGAATTGTTTTTTATTTGATCATTTACAAATTTTATTGAATAAGAATGTCAAGAGCGTCATTATATCATTTTATTTGATTAGAATAATAAAATATTATTGATCTAACAAAAATAATATTTAGAATCACCTATAAATAATGGATCTAACATACACCAGACATAAATATACAAAGATAGATGAATGCAGTTACAAGAGGCACAATAAAAAAAACATAAAATATCTATTACTCTCTTTAATAAATATCGAATGTAAGTTTAATATTTGACTCAATTAAACAGCATATTGTCAAGAGTATACAAATAAATATTCTATTTTCTTCAAACAAACCATTCACAAAATTTCATATAGTAAAGCTTTTTACAGTATACTCTACGATGAGACATCAATAATAAATACAAAATATCTTTGTAGAAATATTTTACACAGATTAATTATAACTTGCTAAAAGAAAATACGTTTGTGAATTGTATCAAGCTATAATCTATTTTTCGTTGTCATCATTAATTTTTATTTCCTTTTGTTTTTCTTAACATGCTAAACAAAAATGTTCCTTAAAAACAAATGAATATTTTAAAAACTATTGATCTTAAACAGATTTAGTAGCTTTGATAGCATATATCATAGGTAATTTCTTTTCCAAACCTTTAATTCGATAAAATCCGTCATCTGTTTTAACAGTATTTAGAAAACAATCATATGGTGAATAATCGAATTCTTGTAGAACATTAATTCGAAGATCATGATCAATAAGTGCTTGAACAATTTCACTAAGACTATGATTCCATTCAACACTTGAATTCGATATTGGAGCATTACGATCAGCATAAGAACCATTACATTGACTAATGATCACTTTCTGATTAAAATATGATTCTTCAATACGTGAAAACATATCATCAAACATCCATAGAACAGGATGAAATTCTACTATAATAAAAATACCATTTGGTTTCAAATATCGAGAAATTAAAGATGCCCACTTATTAATATCAGGTAACCAAGCAGTAACACCATAAGAAGTGAAAACAATATCAAATAGTTCATCTTGATCACATGATAAATGTTCTTGCAAGTCATAGATATTACAACAGATAAATCTTGTCGATGTTGTAAGATTAAGAGTTTCAGCTAATTCTCGAGCTTTGTCAATAGCTTGATCGGATAAATCAACTCCAGTAACATGTTGTGCACCACATCGAACAAGCGAAAGTGAATCAAGTCCAAAATGACATTGTAAATGAAGAATACGTTGACCTTGTATGTTACCTAATAAATCACTTTCAATTTTATTTAATGAATTAGCACCAGCAAGAAAACCAGCGACATTATACATTGGTGATACAACATGATAATCAACTTTGTCATTCCATAAACGACGATTTACGTTGACAAAGTTAGCTATAGAATCATCCTTATCAGCCATGGTAATTAAATAAAAAACGTGCTTCGACACATGTTTTTATTCACGTTTGTAATTTCATAATATTTATCTTTTTTTGCCCAATTTTTATTGACTTTTGTTACTAGAAAGAGATAAACAATATGAGTCAAGATTGTATGACAAAAATTAGCTAACTACTAATAACTAAAACAAAAAAAAAGGTTATTTTTAAATAAAAAAAAGACAACGTATGTATAAAGAATCATTTTGAAATTCAACATACTTGAGCAGTGCAATAGATCATTTCAAAATTATATTCTAATCAAATATTTAATGATTGTAGGTACACATGCTTTCAACAATGTGCAATTCAACTCGGAATAACATTCAATATAATTAACCATTCTTTAAGGGTCTAAAAAAGGGTATTCAAGTCTCGAACTGAACCAGGTCAACTTTGATAAAAATCTTCCAATCGGCTTGCTGAGTTGTCGACTGTG